TTAGATGACTATCTGAGTCATGAAAAATCAGTTATTCAAATTAAGAAGTTACTCGTTTCACAAATGAACGCTGTATTTTGAAAACGTGAAGAGTCACACTTTTTTTTAAGGTGACGAATACATGAATGATTTTGTAAATGAGTTTTTACACCTTCAAAACAATGGATTTAACGTAAATGAAAAACATATAAAGGTTATCATTTACTGTGTTCTGTGTGATACATCTGCACGAGGCTTTGTCAAATGCATTAAATCACATAGTGGATATCATTCGTGTGAAAGATGTAACCAACGATGTGTTTATGATTTTCATAAAATAATATTGCCAGAAAGTAATGCTCTATTGAGGACTGATACTGCATTCAATGAACACATAGATGAAGGTCATCATAAAGATGACCTTCATCAATCACAAGAGATGCACCATCACCATTGCAAAAACTCAACCTGGGTTTAGTTATTCAATTTCCACTTGACTACTTGCATCTGATTTGCCTTGGTGTTGTTCGAAGGTTGGTTTTGTTTTGGCTTTCAGGTAATTCAAAATGTCGTTTGCCTGTTGCGACTGTTCAAAAGCTTTCAAGTGCATTAATTAATTTGCAAATTTGTATACCTAATGAATTTCAAAAAAAACCTCGTTCCTTAGATGAAATTATGCAATGGAAAGTTACAGAGTTCAGACAGTTTCTTATTTATACTGGGCCTGTTGTATTAAAACAGTTTCTCGATCCTGCTGTCTATAATCATTTCATGTTACTTTCAGTTGCTATATTTTGTCTATGTCATCCAATTTTATGCAAGGAATATTGTGCATATGCTGATAACTTACTAAAATATTTTGTTAAACATTTTCAGTTGTTATATGGACTCCAGTTTCTTGTGTACAATGTGCATTCTTTAATTCATTTAGCCTCAGATGTTGAAAAGTATGGCCCATTGGACACAATTAGTTGTTTTCCTTTTGAAAATAGTTTACACAAGTTAAAAAAGTTGGTGCGTTTATCTCGTCTTCCTCTACAGCAAGTTGTCAACAGACTCAAAGAAAGAAACAATAGTTATACACAGCCAATTTGTAATGATTTACCTAATTGTAAAAAACTGCACTCCAATGGTCCTATTCCTGAAAAATACAATTCTGTTGAAGTTAAACAGTATATGGTGTTTCATACTAGTTCATTTAAGCTCTCTATGTCTAAGTTGTGCGATAGTTATATTAGCGTTAACAATATTTGTGGAAAAGTTATGAATCTTATACAAGTAGATGAAGAACTTTTTGTTGTTTTCAATAGTTTTTGTGATTTATCTGCTTTTTTTGAACATCCAATTCCTTCTAGCCATATTGGCATTTACAATGCTACTAGGTTATCAGATACTCTAAGTGTTGCTCCGCTTTCGAGTGTAAAAAAATGTATATGCTTAATAAGTGGTTTTGATTATATTCTCGTACCTCTTTTACATAACTAAATAAAAAAGTTTGTATTTAATTTTGTTTATCAGAAACTTTTTTTAATATATATTTTAAAAAAACATGTATTTGAATGTAATATTTGGATACAAATATGTTTTTTTATATTTACTAATATATATATATATATATATATATATATATATATATATATATATATATATATATATATATATATATATATATATATATATATATATATATATATATATATATATATATATATATATATATATAATATGTATATATTTGTATGTATATATATATACATATATATATATATATATATATATATATATATATATATATATATATATATATATATATATATATATATATATATATATATATATATATTTATATATATATATATATATATAATTTTTTATATTTGTATTCAATTTTTGAATACAAATATTTTACTTTTGTATACAAGATTTGATGTTTATAGTATATAAAAATGTTTTATGAAAAATATGGATAGATGAATTAAATTAGGCAAATATAAAACACTTGTCAACTAATTTACACTTGTGTGTACACTTGTGTACAGTGGTAACTATTACCCTATTTTTTTTATACGTATACATATAAAAAGTATATTTTTATAATACAATTTTATATTATATTTATTTAAAGAATTTAATGTCACAGTTAAAATATATAATTAATAAAACTATCATGTCTTTATGGTCTGTTGTGTTTTTTCCTGACACAGCCAAAGTTGAAGTGGTGCCTACAAATTGGATTAACTCAGAAAAAGGGATTGTTTATTGTAAGTGGCCATCTACATTAACATGTCGTAATCCAAGGATGCTGTAAAGAAAAGGATAAATCCTGAGCAATCTTGGCTGTCATACAATGTTATGATAAAATATCTTACAGGTTACTAGTTTATAACATTTATACAAATTTAATTAAATATTTTAGGCTTTTTATATCTAGGTTCTTGTTATAATTTCATATAAAAAATATTTAACAAGTTTTCCAATGATAATAATAAGTTGTATTTTAGATGATTATTTATTAGTGTGTGAAAAATCCAAAAAAGGCGAGCTTGTGTCTGATCTTACAAGTCTGGATTATCTGAATCAGAGAATCTTACAACCAAAAATAGGTACTTATTTGCTATAGTGAATACATGTATTGGTTTTATGTGAAAGTATGTGTATTGGTTTTATGTGAAAGTATATATATATTTTTTTCCATTTTTAAGCAATTTTCTTCTATTAATAATGCACTATCGATTATATTCTTCAGTACCTATTATTTTTTAATTTGAAAAATGTAACTTTGTTTGAAAAATTATTCTTATTTTTTGTAAAGTTATTAATTTATTTTAAATATATCAAATTAAACTTAATTTACATTGATTTCTTTTTATAACTTCCCTCGCCTAGATTAAGGCAAATCTAAGGTGTGTGTTGTAAATCATTGCATTTTTATATAACTTTTAAAAGTATGTCTCGGTAAAACTCAAACGTCTCTAGGACGTCTGAAAAAGACGTCCATAAGTCTTTCATATGAGACAAACCAGAGACGTCTCTGAAACGTGTGCAAAAAACGTCTCTAGGATGTCTTGAGAAGACGTCTTAAGGACGTCTGGAATAGACGTCCTCAAGCCTTTCATTTGAGACTAACTAAGGATGCCTTACCGACGAGACCTAAGACGTCTTACGGACGTCCTTAGGACGTCAAAATGCCCGCTGGGAATGTGTTTACTGATTAGTTAAGGCTGTGCATTAAAGGGACAATGTTGTTTCTTATAGGAAAATATTTAGAATGACCTGTTAATTTCAAAGAAAAAATTATTTTTCTTTAAAATTAAAAAGGCAAGAGTCCTAATAAGCTGCAGATTCCAAAACAAATTAAAAACTCATTAACCCTACTATTACGTTAGGGTCCAAACGGACCCCACGAGTAGTTTGTGTTTGCATTATATATTTATGTAGTCAGTATTTTTTTTCAAAATTTCATGTATCTGTTAAATATAACAAGATGTACAAATACTCAAAAATTTATTTTTGGACATTGCTTCCCTTTTTAGTTATTTTCAAAATAGACTTCTATGATGTTGGGGTCCATATGGACCCCAACATATTTTTTCTTATAAAACGTATAGTTTTTCAAAACTAATGCTTTTAAAAGCTGTTTATATATATATATATATATATATATATATATATATATATATATATATATATATATATATATATATATATATATATATATATATATATATATATATATATATATATATATATATATATATAAAATATCTTCAAATATATATATATATATATATATATATATATATATATATATATATATATATATATATATATATATATATATATATATATATATATATATATATATATATATATATATATATATATATATATATATGTATATATTTAATGATATTTTTTTTGAGAATAACAAATAAATAAATTAATTTTGGTAAAACAGAATAAAATTATCTTTGCTAATTTTTTTAAAGAACGATTTATTTTATTAAAAACATAATTATTTGACTGGGGTCCGTATGGACCCCAACGTAACAACTGTATGTTGATTAGCGACGGCTTAGTAGGGTTAAAGAAATAAACAACTGCTGCCCCGTTACTTTTTTTTTTTTTTTTTTGCATTATTATAGAAATTCGTTAAATTTATGATGTATTGTACACTTATGGTTTTATCAAAACAAAGGTTTATATATTTATCTCTTTAAAATTTATTGACTTCAAGAGAAGTTTTTTCGGTCGGTGTGTAATAAACTTACCATGACCAGTATTAAGTTTTTTATTAAAACATAATTCAAAAAATGCTTGTTTTTTATTTAAATGAGATTATTTTATTAAACTGATTAACTTTAAAAATAATTAAAAGTTATATTTTCACTTTTATTTTTAATACTAATATTTAATTTTTTAGTTACACAGCTATTAATTCACGCCCCAGTTAAACATACAAAACCGAGTGGGCAACGACAACACACTTTATATAACCATCAAATTAGTATTATACTTAATTTTATTTTGCTTTTTATACTTTTTTGGCTTATCGTTTTTCTAAACTTTAAACTAAGGGATTGTCCATAAATTTCTCAAGGCTAAATTTCACAATTCAAGAAAACAAAAATGATCTAAATTTTTCCTTGCATAGTCGTATGTTAAATAAAAAATCTATAGAGCTCATAAAGTTTATCTACTTTTTTAGTTTATCTTTTTATAGTTTATCTACTGTTTTGCTTTTAAAGTAGCTTTTCAGAACAAAATTATTTTACTTCAAAGTATTAAAGTAAGTAAGGAATAGGTATAGAAATAATTGGTCTGGAATAGGTATGTATAGAAATAGTAGGTTCGGTTAAGACCCGTATTTTACGGATTCGAAAAGCTAGGATATATAGGGAAAAAGTATTAAAAAGTTCAATTTGGAATTACAAAGACCCGTATTTTTACGGGTCAAATCTCAGCTAGTTATAATAAAAAGTTGAATAATTTATTAAAGTTTTTATGTTATAATGAACTAATAATAATGAATTAATAAATGTATTAAGAAAGTTAATTCGTATATTTAAAAACATATCTTAACAAAATACTTTAAATATTTCATTAGTTATTTATAGTTATTGTTTTTATTTAACATGATATATATCGAATAATTGATCGTGTTGTTAAGGTTTTTAATTCATCAAGGTTATCGAAATGTTTTCCACGGTACCAGATCTCAAACTTGATATTTGATAAACGAATCCATTCGCAAATTTCTTTAATAAAATCAGTGTCGTAGTGAAGTTTAAGTTCTAATTTATCACAAAGAATTATCCAATGAAGAAAGTATTTTTCAAAATCATATTTTTTTACTAAACTATCTGAGATCCATATTGCTAAATTTTTTATCTTATTTTTTGGTTTCCATTCTCCGAAATCGATTGGATGATAAAAAATGACATTGCAAACATTAGTTGAACATTGAATAAAAAGTTTTTTTTCTTCATCATGCAAACTGTTTTTATAAACATTTAACGACAATAACTTCCCTTTATTTTTTATGTAATGATTTACAAAATGATTTTCGCAAGCAGTTAAATAAGAAGTTTTTCCATCGATAAATGATATACTCCAGCTTTTCTTATTAACAAATGATTTTATTTCATCAGTAAATGACTCACATTCGTAAAAACATTCAAAGAATAACTTCATGAAATAACTTTTACTTAGACGATCTAAATTAAATAATGACTATAAAAATAAACAAACAAATAACTAATAAATAAAATGATATTCGAAAATTTAACATTAAACAAGTTATAATATTTTACCTATTTTTACATATAGTTATAATTTAATGAAAAAAGTTACAAAAATATGAAGAAATAGTATTTTAATTAATTTAAACATAATTTTTGTAAAAAAATAACATAACAAAAACTGATCATTTATATAACTTCAAGAATACTTTCTTTTATATATATTTTCCTAATAAATTTCGTTGTTCAGTTGTTTTAATAAAATAAAGTATAAACATAAAAAATAAAACATTAACAAAAGCATTTTGTTTAAAAACAAATTTGAAATTAATGAAATAATATTAATGGAATTTCTAAAGAAACTCCAAAAAAATTATATTTGTTTATTGAATTTTAACGTTGACTAGAATTTTTGACGAATTTATTTCTTTAAGCTATTTATGGAAAATTTATAGGGGCATGGTAATAAAGAACGATTTATATAGTATTGGTAAAATGCTGATGCTTTCAACTGGTAAAATGCAGGAATAAAGTGCCGTTAAAAAGTTAGATGCTTGGGGGTTGGAGATTTTGACTGATTTAAGGAGACCATTAAAAGGTGTACTTCTACATTGACGAAACAATTGGATTAGTGCAGTGATATGGTTAGGTTAGGAAGAATATTTTGCACTTAATTCCTGCAATTTAGCCGTTGAAAATATCCGCATTTTTGCATTGAACCTTAATACTATTTAGTATACTTTTATAAGTTATATAAGATAAAATATGTGAAACAATATGCGTTTCTTAAATTAGACTGAGCAGTAAAATTCTTATTAGAAACATGTAGAACTAATAAAAAATTCTGTCATGTAGAATTATTAATATCAAAAAAAGGAACGGTTGTTTTAAAAAACTATAAATTCATATTTAGGAGACATTTGCACATCATAATTAATATAATTTCATCATAAAAGCACAGCTACAAAATGTAATATATATATATATATATATATATATATATATATATATATATATATATATATATATATATATATATATATATATATATATATATATATATATATATATATATATATATATATAATATATATATATATATATATATATATATATATATATATATATATATATATATATATATATATTTATATATTACAGTTGCTGGTGTACAAAGAAAACCCACCCTTTAAAAATCAATTACTTGACTAAAAAACTCTCAACCCTGGGTACTATAAAAAAACCGCTGCAAAGCCTCTTGGTACACAACACTAAAAGTTCTTCCACCTGGGGATTTTATATACGCAGTACACACATAAATTTAGATATATTCATACACAATACTCATTTAAAAAGAACAATGCCCCCCTACCAAGTTGACATTCACAAAATAAAAGAACCAAAAATGAATTAGTTACCACCAAAAAATAACATTTCCCAACCCGTACCCCGCAGCACCATGCAAAGAGCAAACCGACCCCCTGAACTGACTCCCAGAACTGCAACCCCGCAAATGATGTGCTCACCTCAGCAACCTGGTAAAAACTTAGCTATGAGCGATCTCTGGTGATCCACCTACATCCCCATGGAAGGCTCCAGATGGAGCAAAAGAGTACCACAGAACACTTTGGAAAGCCCGGAATGCTTTGGAAGGTGATGGAACAGCCACATTGTGCACAATGGAAAACTCCGAACCACTCCGAAAAATTCTGGCTTACTCTGGTAAAACGTGGAACATTCCAGAAAACTCTGGAATACGACAAAACAGGAACAGCAATCCATGAAACACGACAGAAACCGACGAAAATCACATCAAAAGAAACGCACAACCCTTCCCTTAAACCATACCGACCTTTAGCCACCCCTAAGATCACACCCGATGTCATCCGCACTCCCTCCCCCGGGGGTTAGGAAAAACTCTTCATTTGACAAGAAAAACTCCTTTCGGCCCCCCGACCCAGAAATGACCTTTTGAAAGCCCCCGCGAATTTTTTTTTTCTTTAAAGTTTTACAACTACATATGAATTACAAAATTTTTTTACACAGCGATACCATAAACAAAATAAACTTCCAATACAAAAAATTCATATTTTTCAAAATACTGTTCTTTAGATAAACATAGGAAGCAATAACTAAATATGCTACAACTTGATAAGGGTTTTGACTGTTGTAGGGAAGTCGTAGAAGACTGAGTTTAGTCTTATTATCGAGAACCTTGGGGTGTTGCTTAAAGTACACATATAAACATTATGATTCTCATAAAAAAAATATTTTAAATGTCATTGAAGTAGACTTTTCCTTTCTTTTTGTTATACTATGTATGGTGTTATTGTTGTAGTTAATAATAATAATATTATCTTTATTTTTTAATTAAAAAAAAAATCATTTTCATTTTTAATTGGTTGCTGATTATTTGAATGTGAGCGTAAATATTAGTTTATAATTGGAACTAAAACATTTCCAAGTAATTTTCTGTATTGATAACATGACTTTTTAGATTTGACTTTAAAGAAGTTATATTGTCAGCAAGAGAAATTGAGGTATAATCCGGAATTAGTTTGTTATATAAATAAGGGCCGCGGTAAGAAATAGAGAATTGAGAATTTTTTTGTTTTTTCCGGGGTACAATAAAGTTACCAGTTGATCATGTGCAAAATTTGTTAAGATTAGATTGAAAGAATTTTTTTGTGAATCGGTTAGGAACTAATCCTAATTTGTATTTTTAAAAATTTTTAATTTGTCTGGAACAACTCCAGTTCTCATTGATGACTTGAAAACCTCTATATGAGGATCTTTTAAAAATGTATGAAACATCATACACTACATTACTAGAAATGTTGTCAATTCCCGGAGCTTTGTTTTTTCTAATTGATTTTGTTGCTTCTTTAAATTCCTCAGCTTTTAGGTCATCATTTAATATGTAGAAACAAGCATCAAATATTCCGAAAATAATTGGTTATAATTTGCCAATAATTGGTTAAATTTCATATATTAAATAATTGGTTAAATTAATAAAATAATTTGCCAATAATTGGTTAAATTTCAACTTTGCCATAAATCACATCAAATGTTTGTTGCCATATAAATGATGGCATTTTCTTTCAAAAAGTAAAAGTTAAATCCAACTCACAATCATTTTAACATAAACAAGAAAAAAAAACTTCTTCCACAACAGTTTTATCATAAAAAATTTCTATGTAATTTTTTGCGAAAGAAACACAGGTAATAATAATACTAGTAATAACAATAATAATAATAATAATAATAATAATAATAATAATAATAATAATAGAAATAATAATAATAGCAATAATAGTAATAACAATTATAATAGCAATAATAGCAATAATAATAATAACAATAATAATAATATATAAATGCTGAAACACAGATAATGTATCCCTACAAAACCTATCACTAGGTTGTCGCATCCGTTACTATAAGTATAACCAAGGTTGTTGCTTGAGGAGGACAATCATAAAACACCAAGCATGCATTTGCTGTGAATTTCGCTGGTTACAACACCGCTCTAAGGATTTTGCCAGAATTTTAAATAAAAACGTTTAGTTGAAAATTCTATCAAAAAGTATCTCAGTAAGTAACGAAACAGGTACGTACATACTTTTATTATATTGTAGTAGGTTTTTGTGTTCTTATAACATGCCGATAATTTTTTTTTTTTAAATTATTTGTGAAAACAATATTTTCTACGCGCTGAACACATATTTTTTGCAGCATATATTTTTTGTGAGATAGCTAGTGTATAGATATTTTTTCTTTATCTTTAGTTTTAGAATGTTATGCAAACTTAAACTTTACATAAATGAAGAATGTTTAAAGTTTATTATATGTTTTTATTTTTTTGTGCCACTAACGTTTTGAAGGCAGGTTGATTTATTTTTCTGCATATTTATTTAGTTTTCTGCATCTATTTTCTATCTACCTTCTCAATTTCATAGAAAAAAAAATTACTTTTTTATACTCTATTATCGTATTCTCATTAGGAAATTCATATTATATTTTAAAAAGTTACGTATAAAAACAGAAATAAACTAACGACGAAGTTTTTTAGAAAACTTTTGTTTCTTAAACGGTTTTTTTTAAAGTTGCAATTTTCTTGTTAAAGTATTTTATACTCAAGTAAAGATAAATCTGTGTAAAATCGTTCTTTTTTTATAAAACTTTTACAATTTTTATATTAATTTGGAGCTCTTTCCAATAACATTCAACATTTAAATGTATAAACAGTTTGAAATTTATATACAAATATCTATTTGCAGTGAACTTAAAATGAATAAGCTTAGTTAAAGAAATCTAATTAGTAATAGTTATAGTAATATATTTAAGCTCACTAATAATTCTTAGTACACTCACCAATAGTTCAATGAGTATACCAAGGACACTTAGACAACTATATCATTATTCAACATTACTTAAAATCCATATGTCAAGTGTAGCTTTGAAAGAATTTACTAAAAAGGCATTAAAGACATTATTAGGTAGTTAATTCCATTAAAAAGATGCTCTGTTTGTTTAAAAAATAAAGTTGGGGCAAAAAACTGACTATTTCGCAATTATAATTCATTTGACGACCTTTTGCTGATTGATAATTTTTTAACAAAATTTCATTAAATTTTTTCAACTCCATTAAATATTTAATACATTTGAATCAAGTCAGCCCGAGTCCTTCTTACAACTAAGGTAGTGAGACCCAATTTGTCTAATCTTTCCTCATAACATAGTTATTTTAGTCGCGATATCATTCAAGTAGCGCAATACGAAAATATTTTAAAACCTTTTCTGAAAGATTAATTTCAATTTTAAGCCATAGAGACCATACATATACAGCGAATTCAATTAACAGTCTAACAAAAGTTATACATATATATAACTTTTATTATTTCACAATTTAAAATTTAAATGTGTAAGGTAACCTGGGGTAAAGCGACACATTTAAGCTTTCTAGCATTGTACAG